CTCTAGGACGAGGCAGCCACTGCCATATGGACTCACCAGGCAGGTGAGCATCGCTGTGGGCAGGGACATCATGGCTTATCATCCAGGACCCTCCACAGCGCTGCTGTTCCCTCCCAGCGCTGAGGATGGGGGTGGGGAGCCGGCAGGGCGCCTGGCCCAGCATCGCCACCTGCTGTGAGGCCATTTACAAGCCTTCCAACCTCCTCCAGGGCGTGTTCCCTCTGCCCTCTACGCCGTGGCATGCGAGTCCCCAGGTCCCTTCTAGCTTCCAAACTCTCTGCTCCCTAAGACCTTCTCATCGAAGACAGATGTTCAGCACCCAGGTGGAAACAGTTAAGTGAGGAAATGAAAAGCAAGGTGGGGGGGACCAGGGGTGCTGACCCTGAACCCCAGCCCAGTGGGGGCCATCTGGGCAGTCTGAGCCCAGGAGGCAGGAGGACATGTGTGGTCACATTTCGGCCCCCTGGCTCAGCACAGCATGCTGGGGACTTAGGTGAGGCACACGGCAGGGTCCTGGGGCGGGGGGCGGGGCTGGGGAGCTGCCCTTGGTACTGGGCCAGCAGGGGGACAGGTGCTCGGGAATGACCTCAGGGGTCAGCCCACCTGCTGCTTTTTGACACTGGCGGGTTACGGGACATCGGGCCGTGCTGCGTCCCCCCTTGCTGGAAAAGTCCCACGTGTGTGCCTATGACACTGTGCACACCCTCAGGGACACAGGCACCCAGCACAAAGAAAGAGAGAGCAGTGACACACGGAGGCGAGAAAGGCGTCTGGGGACCCTGGGCAAGGGGAGGAAGGCCGGTGCAGAGGCCGGAAGTGGTTCTCGGTCGGGGGCATCAAAAGGGTGGGCAACTGGGAGGGGGCGTGAAGACCAGCTCCAGCCTCTTCATCTTGAAGATGCAAAGTGCCTACCTTGTAGCAGAGGGCACTTTAAAGGTAAAAGTGCCCTTTTACCGTAAAGGTAAAGGAGCCACACAGAGGACACACGTGACCAGGCTGAACGTTGGTTCCCTTACGGTTTCCTTACCTGGGACCAGGCTTTGAAGGGGCTGTCATACCCGCTGATCACGCACCTACTACCTGTCGGACCGCTGGCTACACGCCGGTGTTGTCTGGATGTTGGAAAGGCCAGACCCATCTTCTAGAGGCTTCTGCCAAGGCAGGTGCAGATAAGCCGTAGACCAGCTTCCCACCTAGAAAGAGGGACTACGAGCCAGTCCCTCCCACTAGGGCTTCCCCAAAGGTGGGAGGCTGGTGGGGAAGGGCATGCTTGCAACTGGAACAGCCTTGGAGAAGCCATCCCAACAGAGGCAGCCCCACCTACGATCCTGGGTTGTGGATGTGAGGGGTCATGGAATATGAGTGAAGGACGGTGGCGTGCTGGTCTCTTCGCTGTCTGCATTGAAAACCAAAAGAAGGGAGAAAGCCAAGTATGAACACCACCAGCACCCCCTGCAATGTTATCTAACCCATTTTATAAACACGCAAAACATGGAGTGAGGAGAATTCCTAGTGCCTCACTCACAAGGTTGGCAACATAGTTGCTAAGGGGACTCTACTCCCCCCAACCCCATAGAACCCAAGCTGTCTCTTCTCCGGCAAGGTTATTAAAAAAGGCATGGTGGAGATGAAGATCACACTCTCAGAAAATGTTTTGTGGGAAGTAAGGGGTAGTTTGGGGTGTGCGGGCTTTATATCCAGGAAGCCTAAAATCCTGAGCCTCCTCTCCTCCTGGCTGGGTGGCTCAGCTGACTGGAGCACCGTCCCAATACACCAAAAGGTTTGCAGGTTCAACTGCCAGTTGGGACGCGTGCGGGAGGCAACCGATCAATATGTCTCTCACATCGATAGCTGTTTCTCTAAATCAATAAACATATCCTCAGGTGAGAATTAAAAAAAAATAAAACCCTGAGCCTTGCCAACTCTGGCCAAAATACATCCCATCCCATTACTGCTCTGTTCACAGCGGGGCAGTTACTGTTCCGTAGGAGACAGCTGACGCAGGGCAGGCCCCCGCACCCCGAGACAGCGGAGAAACACTGAAGGGGCGGCAGCCTGGCCCCCTTGCCCTGCACCACCAGTTCCTGCACCGTCGCAGCTGCCTCATCGCTTTGATCCCCAGCCCCTTGGCTGTCCCGCCTGTACAAGGCAAAGCTTGGACTGGGTTCATTCCCTTGAAAACTGCTGGGTGAGGACCCACTGAGAAAGGCACTGTGCCAGGCCGGCACTATGGAGAGGAGAGTTACAGAAGGCAGGACCAGCTATGCTGCTGCTGGCTTTGTAAAAACGAGGCCATGGTACTGTCTATGAGAAGGTAGAAGACAGATAGACGGTCATGGGGCAGGGCGTCCGCCTCAGTCCCCACCTAGCTGCCCTGAGAACTGAGGAGAGCCCTGTCCACGCACAGCTGGAACCTGGACACACACCAGTGTGCCAAGGCACCCTGGCAGAAGCTCCGTGCTCGGTGTGCCCGAGTGTCCCCAGCCTCAGGGGTCCTGCAACCCTCCTTGTTCTGTGGGAGCCCAGGGAGGGAGACTCCTGGGAGACAGAATTCCCTGCAGCCTGAGTCCACTCATCTCTCTTTGGAGGCTGCCAGTGTGGTGCCCAGTCACGGGTGATCACGCGGGGCCACAACCCAGTGACTGATGGAGGGGACTGAGCGAAGGAGGAAGGTTCAGCAAAAGGCGACGGTGGCAGGAAATAGGGGAGCCACCTACCTGAGATGAGGAGCTTGGACACGCTGATGCCGCTGCCACCCACACGGCCCTGGCGTCCTTGGAGGCTGGAAGGAACCAAGGGCTTGGCCGAGGGCCAGATGCCATGCGCAGCTGATGCTCTGGAAGATGGATTCTTTCAGCAAATGCTGTTTGAGACTCAGAAAAGATGAACCGGGGTCTGTGTACAAGGAGCTGGCTGTGCTCACCGCAAATAACTTCGTAAGGGCACCAGTAAGAAACCAGGAAGGAGTGCGATTTGCTCCTCCCTGGTGCTAGTACGCAGGATGGGGAAGGGGATGTAGCCCAGACCCATTTATTAAGTGACACGAAGCTTGTCTTCTGCCCTGGTGAGGCAGGAGAACAAGCAGCCCAGGAACCCCGACATCCCCGAGTGGAGTGTGAGGCCACGGCCATACCTTGTTCGTATCTGCGAACTTCCCTAAAGGGTTAAGTAGCCAGAATTAAGAGGAAAACAAAATCTGGAAAACCTGTAGCAAAACATCCAGTGGCCATGTACCGGAAGTCCATACCCTACAAATGTTCTTTTTTGCTTTTTGGTAAAGAAAAAGAGAACTGAGCAGTGACCTGACCCAAAACTCTTAAGACAAAGAAAAGCAACGTTAGCTCAAGACTGAGCAGCAAGAAAAACACGGTTCCGTTTGCCAGATAAAATAGGAAGGATCTACAGCTGGACGGCCTGCGTCTCAGTCACGGATCCGCGGCTCTTGGTGCCCCCGAACCCCGCGGGCCCGAGGAGGCCACCTCTTTTCTGATGCAAAAAAGATGGACTCACAGAAATGAAACCCCTCCCCACAACTTAACGATTAACACAAAGTACATGTCTATTAATTTAAAACCATTTCCCAAATAAAAGGAAACATGAAGCAGGTTCTCTGAGTCATGTTTAAGGTGCTAGAACAAACCAACATTGAACTTGAACTAGGTTGGTCATAGCTACAAAAGATTGCAAGATTTTTTTTAATGCTCTTATCTGCAACAGAAGAGAAATAGTTTGCTTTTATCTGATCCTTTAGTCCTAAAGATTTTAAGGGTCTACAGAACTGACCACCCACTGGCAGGACCAGACCTCAAGTGCAAGATACCACTTTGGGATAAGAGAAAAAACAGGGTTTTATTTGCGCCCTGATGATCTCTTATAGAACCTTCCAGAAATCAACACCCTCTCTCCAAATAGGACTCAGCATATTAACTGTCAATCAGGAATCAACGTTCTTACCGAAGACCAAGAGATATCTATAAAGTGCACCATGGTCTTGGAGAAATATATCCCCAAATTTTGAATACACAACAAGACCTAACAGTCTTTACCCTGCTGACAGCTGACCCTTTGTTTTGACCTACGTCTTAGACCTTATAATATGATGACACCATTTCAAGACAAATTACCTTTCTATCTTAGGTGTCTACATCAATTCTGGCTTAAGTACCACTATCTTGGCTATTTATAATCTTATTCATGAGATGTGGAAATACGTATATATATTTTTTTACCTAGTAGATAATCTGTCTTATCAATAGCTGTTTAGCCGTCTTGTTCGTCTCTCAGCTGAAAAAACAATACGCTACTGACATCACAGTGGAAGAGGAACGACCTCAAGATTTCCAAGCAACGCGGCTGTGTTTCCCATCTGAGCTCCCCTGCGGATCATTAGGACGAGTTTCAAAGGTCCCATTCTTGGCCTCCGGTGGTGCCGAGCCCTTGGACGAGCCTGCAGCGAGATGTGAGTTGCACAACATCCCACTTTCTCCACAAGTGCTAAATCCTGTCCTCCCTTCTCCTCCGCGCACCACCGTTCACGTCAGTTCGAGGTCTCTCCTGAATTGGGCTATGCTGACGTTCCAGAGAGGAAGGGTGAAATCTCAAGTCCCTCTGCTTTTAGCTCCTGCAGCCTAAGAAACGGCCTCGGAGTCCCAGTTTTGGCTGCGTTACCGTGTTGAGGGCCAAATGCTGTCCCCAGTCAGGCTTTGGCAGGCGTGAGGCCGAGGTAAACCCAGCCCCAGAAGGCTCGGTATGGGAGCAACACATTTAAGAATGCGATAGTCGTCTGTTGCTTGGTATTTGCAGAATGCATAAAAACAGGGTGGTGGTAAGAACGGCCTTATCTGCTCTACAATTCTTCCCTTTTCTGTATGACACTCGTAAGCAATTCCCAGTCATCTAAAATGCTGATGAAGAAAGGAGAGATTTGCTTCCTTTCCCCCAAAGAGCTGGGCAATAATAGTAACTGTTCAAGGCCAACTAGAAAGAAAACACAACTCCAGTAAGTTTTAAACCAGATTTAAGTTTTTCTTTTTTTTTTTTTAATTCAAACTGACCCAAAGCAAAACTTACATTACAAAGGAAGAACAAAATACATTATGATAGAACACACTTGGAATTACATGAAAGCTAAATTTGGGGGCAAAAGGGCCTCATCCCAATCACATTCTGGGCTACGGAGCAATTCGGCGGGGAAGTTAGAATCTTGATTTTCCGTGTGGTTCCCCCTCATCACTCAACTACACATTCTTGTCGCTTAGGGCGTGTGCCTGGCGAATCACGCCAGCTCCCTCGTGGTCCGTACGTGCGCTCTGGCGATGGCCAGGGCACTGGATTCCCTAGTGCAGATTCTGTTCCAAGCATGACTGATAACGCATTAAAGAAGAAAACGGCCAAGTCCTCCAAACCAACAAGCGCGGATTATTCTGTAGTAAATAGTTTAGAAAAATGGGAATTAAATAACCTAAAAAATGCCCTTGCTCTGCTGTACATTTATGAACACAAATATTTACACGGGGAAAAAAAATAAATCTTGGTTTCCAAAGATGAGGTTTGCAGTTCGTGAATGACCAAAATCTTTTATGGGCTGGTTTCTTTGGTGTACTTGCCAAATGTATTTTTTATAAAGGTTTACTCAGAGGCTTAAAAAAATCAATTGTGAAAGAAACATGAAGGATCAGCGACAAATTTGAGACCATTCGGAACATCTCGGGATTCTGGAAAAACCGATCAGTTGATTTTTCTGAAAACATGTGTTTTCTCTACTCATTTTGCTTCTCTGACCACCAAGTTCAAAGGCAGACCTGCATGCTCACCCCCAGCGTCCCCGGGTGACCCACTTGGAGACATCGTCATTACTGTTTAATATGCTATGTGATTAGGATTTCATTAATAGCAAAAATAAAACACTCTTTTTACGCTTCCAGATAAATCAAACCTCAAACAATAAATAATGGAATTATACACTTCTTCATTAAATAGAAATTTCAATTCCAGGAAGAGCACTCATAATTTTTTTTCCCTTTTCTGAAGTTGCAGCAGCAGCAGCAGCACAGAATGAAGAATTTACCTTAATCTGATCTTTTTTTTTACTTGGAATTTCCTGACTCAAAAGTCTAGTGGCTTAGTTTGGAAACCTTCGAATTGTTTGAGGGGGGTGGGGGGGATAATTTTAAACCAACTGATTAAATTAATACACGTGAGGAAAGAAGCCCCGTGCGAACCAAACATTGCTATCCCTGTCCAGTGTGCGGGGCCCTGGGCGCCCCACTGGGCCCTCGTCTCCTGGGGTGTCAGGGAGAAGTGACACTCAATTCCCCTCTGGCTGTGCCCTGTCCTGGGTGCTGCTAATGAGTCTTGGCCTTGACCTAGGTGTTGGTTTAAAGAATCAGACCCCAGCTCAGCTCCCAATTTCACAAGGAACTCTCTCTGTCTCAGAAGTTAACTTTTTGGAGATAGTTTTATGGGGAAAAGAACAGACCACCTATTTCCAGCCACCAGGCTACCGTCAGAATTGTGGGAGGGTCAGAAAACTGGCTGCGGGCTGGCTGGCTCCCTGCAGAAGAGGCTCTGAACCCCACTAGCCTAAATCACCCTTCTTCTGAAGCTGGCCGTTCCCTCAGAGCTGTGTGCACTCCTAGGACAAGCAGACCAGACACTTGGCTACCACAGCTACTCCGAGTCCAAGGGGATAAACTTGGTGCTTTGGAAAGTACCCCTGCGGGCCCTGGATAGAAGGTGAACCAGCGCCAGCCCCCGGTTCTGCTGTGATGCTATTCAGGTGGCACCGTTTTAGACTTGAGGACGTATAGCTAGAAATTCAGACGAGAGGCCCTGCATTGTGTAAATGGGTGATGAGACATTTATTACTAGTGTGGAACTGTTTTTGCAATTTCCCAAGCACGCAGAACGACACTGGGATGTCTGGGAAGGCTGTTCGGAAACCAAACGCGATGTGACATGCCAGGTACAGAACCCACGTTCACGGGTGCGCTGCAGATTCCTGACTGCTTCTGGGAGCTCTTCCGCGGCAATGGACACGTGGCCACAGCTGTTTCCACGCGGCAAGTGGCTGCCCTGTGAACGCAGTAAGGAGCTGTGCCGAACAGCCTCCCCGTGCACCCCCTTGAAGCGACAGGAAGTCTTTCATTCGCACACTGGGCGTTAACCGGGCTTGCAAATGGTGCGCCCGGTAAAACTTTCCTCTCTTTAGAAATCTTTCTTAACTGGGAAGAACAAAAACACCATGAAACTGCCCCAAATGCTGTGAGCATTAAGCCAAAGGGTTTAACAATATTTGGGGTCATTTTTTAGGGAACACTCTACCATCGGGACCTGCAATTGCTTATTAACGCAGAATGGAGGACGAAGCTTAAAACGGAAGCTGCAACCGACAGACTCTGCTGCTGCCCTGAAAATGGAAGCGGCCGTTCCTGTTCTCATGGGCAAGTCAGAGCCGGCTGTGGAATGAGGAACATCAAGAGAAATAGTGGGTAAAATACACCAGGAAAAGTATTGCACTGGAGGCGTCTTAGAACCAGAATACAGTGGCTTTAGAAAGTTAGTTTCTTTCTTGTTAGTTGTGTTTTTGTTTTTTTTTTAAAGCACTATTCGTCTAGAGACAGAAGTTGAGGCCCAGTGTCTCTGAGTAGTGTACTACAGTTGTTAAAAAAATAAGTTAAAAACGAGAGCACACCATCGGGAAAACAGAGGTACCGGAATTGTTGGCGCCCGAAAGCCACAGCTATCAGGACAGAACAGTTTGAAGCAGCCAATTTGTTGTCATGAGAAAGGAATGCGGTGACAGCGGTCCTGAAAGTGCGTCTGAGGACATTCTGCAGGAGCGCCGGGACCCCCGGGGGAAGCTGGGACTCCCCGCAGTCCCGGGTGCTCTGCTGGTGTGTGGTAATGTGCATGCCAGTGGAACCATACATGTGAAAAGGGTGAATGCTCCACTCCGGACCTGCTTGCGTCACTTTGGAAAAACAATTTTTGTAAATGCCACATTGTCTACAAAAACTTGGACCTCTTCAACCTGGACCAAGAAACCAAATTAAGACCTTCAAGCATGTGTGGTGTTTATATATATATCTATATATATATACATACCTATATATATAGATATATATATATAAAAAATAACCATCCCCTACAATGAAAACAAAACAACCAACCAACCAAAAATAAACCTAAACGCGTATACCTGCTTTCTGACTTCACAGCAAATCAGAAATTGCATAGGATATACTTTGTGCAAGGCGAAAGGCCTTTTAAGTATCTGGAATATAACTCCTAATCTTGCTCACAGTTCTGTGTGTATCAGATATCATCAAATTTGTGTTTTAAGTAGTCTTTTATGACCTTGGCAATCGGTAGTTCATCAAGTAGCTTTAGGTTTTGAAGGCCTATACACTGTCGAATTTTAATTCGGCACAGGTCCTGCAAGTTTCTGGGCTGCCCTACAAAGACAGAAAAAAGAAAACAGTTACAAAGCAACCAAGCAGAATATTCAAGGCCGGCTTTTAGGTCCGGAAAATAATTGCTTATTTCACCGGCGAGTGTCTCTGTATGGATTTAATGTGCAAATGGCCAGAGAGACTTCTGCTACGAGGAATGTATCCTGGGTACCTTCCTGGGACTTCTCACTGGAGCCTTTTCCTGTCCTCGGGATGGCTGATACTTGTTTTCATGCGCCCTTTACAAATAAGGACACTAGCAACAATTTCGGTACATTGCTCAGTGTTAGATGAGCAATTAATAAGGCTTTCTGACAGGCTAAAAGCGGTTCTAATTACCATGCCTGACTCTAGGCATGGTGCCCTTGCCAGGACAAGTCAGATTAGCAGTCTTCATCCTGGCTGGGCCCCTCACAGGCTGGGGAGGGCACGTGAGCAAGTCACTCGCTGGGCTTCGCTTCTCCACCTGCGAAGTGAGGGGACCCTATGAGATGCTCTCCAATGCGGCTCCTCCTTGGGACGCTGGGGCTTAGACAGGCTGGGAGCCCACACAATGCCTGGACACAGCGGAGGCTGGGCTGTAGGCGGGGGTGGGGCCGGAGGGGAGCGTGTGGACCAGGAAGGCGGGAAGGAGGACAGAAAAAGCCCCCAAGCTCTCCTGAATCGACACCTCTTCAAACCCCACACCCAGACCTTCCGCCAGTGAGGACCTTGACCCTGACCGATACGCCCACTCCGAGGGAAGATCACAAAGCCCTGTTTCTTTCACGTCGGAATACTGTGAAACAATATTCCAAAACAATCCAAACATCCAAAACAATCCAGATGACCACACACGTCAGCAGAAATTCTCAGCTTCAGGTCAATTCTGCTTGCGTATGAAATGGTGATGATAAGGAAAACTCACAAGTGCAGACCGTTTGCTTGGGGCCAAGTATTCGTAAAAGCTCTAGACATACACGAGCCCCTTTAATCCTTTTTACGAGGGAGGCCCTTTGATCCTCACCCTCATTTTACAGACTCCTCCTGTCTGAGAAGTTAAGCAAAGCAGAAAGTCAAGTAGAACTTTCTACTCAAAGTCAAGTAGAAGGCCATACTCCTCAAACTTCTTGGTCTAAAACCTCATTACACTTTAAAAACTCTCAAAGGACCCCAAAGAACCCGTTTTCATGTGGGTTATAGCTATCAATGATTAGCACATTGGAAGCTGACAGCGAAATTTTAGAAATACTTACAGATTCATTTAGAAATAATACCCATAAATGCATCGCAGGTTAACATAAATGACACTGTTATGAACACAACAAAATTTCCCAACATTCTTTCGCTTTTTTTTTCAACGCTGTTAAAGGTCTGGCTGAATTCCCTCCAGGCTTTTGCATCCGACCTGTTGTGACGAAACCGCGTCAACCTGGGTTCTGAGCCCACTTCCGGGCAGGAGAGGAGTGTCAGAAAGGCAGGTACCGACTCAGCGCCGCTGTGCAAATTGCTTCGACCTCAGCTACCCCGGAGGCGCTCAGAGAAGCCCGGAGGTCCCCAGGCCACTCGTGGGGAACCCTCGCTCTCCCGAGCACTTGAACTGTACTTGTCCACAGCGATCCCCATTATTCCAAACTAATGAACTCTTCACACAGGAAAAAGGCTCCTCAAAACTCAGACCTCTGCTCTGCAAGGCCTGAAGGAACAAAGGTGTCCCAAGAGTCACTTAACACGTGAGCTCTTGAAAGAATCACCGAAGCTACGGATTCCCTAGAAACGTCTGTAAGAAGCATGCGTGTCCACAGCAGTCCACACAGGGATCTGGGGGGAGGGGGCCGTGAGCCCGCCCCCCAGCCTGGGCGACTCCCAGCAAGATTAAGTCTTCTCCTGCTCCAGGCTGTCCCCAGAGAGGGCACTTCATTAGGGGAGACGGGCTCAGGCTCCCCAGCAGATAACGCTCCAGAGCTCCTTCACCCAGGCTGTGCTCCACCTCTGTGTAAAATCACCCATCAACGCCCATCTTCCTCACTATCCAACATGCCCTGGGAGGACGGGCCAGCTCCGGCTGCCAACGCAAGCCCAACAACGCCCGGCCCAGCACCCCATGAGAGCTAGCTGGGAGAATGGACACTCCATAGACTCGTGTGTCCAGTATGAAACAGCTAGCTCTTCGCAAGACACACCCACGTCAACGGCAAATCATTTCCTAAGCTGTTTTGAATTATTTTTCATCACCACGCATAGGCTGCCATTAGGAGGAGAATCAATTATCGCTGTCATTTTTCACTAAATGCTGACAACACTTGATCCCCACACGCAAACCAGAATATGAATGAAGATGTGCATCTTCTTTTAAAGCAAAGAATTTGATTTTCCTAATAGATGGCAGGTTCTTTTCACGTGCAATATTTAAAAAAAAAATGTCGTCACAACGTACCCAGGCCAAACACAGATGAGGACGTAGGTGACATACGGAAGTGTACGTGCCCACATAATGAAGACGCACCACCCAACAAAGTGGAAGAAGTAAATGACTGGAACTGCTGAGTTACGGGTAAAAAAGGCGGGACTGAGACACAAAGGTCTGTAATGGGGCCCTCTGGACTGTCACTTTGTGGCTCCTGGTACTCTCCAGCCACAACCGCAGGGTCTCCTGTCATTCAGAGAGGTGAATGGAGGTCCCCACTCTTGACACCGGGTGGGCTGGTGACCCTGGAGCAAGTGATGCCATGTGACCCCTGTGGTTGTCATAAAAGGTGACATGGCTTTACCCCTTTTCTGGGACACTCGCTCTGGAACCCAGCTGGCTGCCACCATGCCACAAAGAAGCCCGCACAGTCCACAGAAGGAGCTGAGGTCAGGGCCCCACAGTCCTGGGGCCCAGCCCACACTGGCGCCGACCTGCCCCGCCACCTGAGAGAACAGCTGTGGGGAGAGGCGTCGCCTCGTCAAGTGACCCCAGGGGACACTTCTTGGAGGATATCGGTTAGGGAACCGACTAGTGCTGTTAAGCCACTAGGTTTTGCAGCATTAGATGACCCAGTGAGATTCTGGGCTCTGGAAGCAGGGCTGCCTTAAAAAAAAAAAGTCCCAAATATGTGGCTTTGTCCAGGTGCTTTCACGAAGCTGCTGGTCAGAGCCTGGGGGCGAGTTTCGTGACACTCTGTGCACTGTGGTCAGAAAACAGGCAAGACTCCCCAGGCAGTGCGCTGGCTCTGATCTCGTCCACGATAAAACGCAGGAAGGCAAAGACCAGCTAACTTTAAATCCAGGGACCAGTGACCCCAGGGACACCAGGCAGAACTGCTACCACCCTCAGAAGTTACCCCCTTTACACGGGCCCTTCTCAGGGAAAAAGGAACTTTCCATGTGTCAACATGGGAAAGGTTTTCTCGATTTGCTCCCCACCCCGCCCCGCCCTTCAGCAGTGTGCTGTGGCTACGATATTTTGGGAGAATCTGATTTCTAAAGGTTTCTCGACCCCGTGTGATTTCTGTGTGCACCATGACCTCGGGTACCAGAGGCACACACTGCCGGGGCTCCGGCTGCAAGCCCGGAGCCAGATTCCTGGGCCTGCGCTCAAAACCCGCGTGTCCTGGGCAAGCCAATCAGCCTTCAGCCTCAGTGTCCTCACCCGTGACCTGAGCACAATGTCCCCTATATCCCAGGCTTTACAGGCGTAAAAAAAAGAGTTAATTTTGGTGACATCCTTAGAATAGAACCAGGCACACAGTAAGAGCTATATATTTATAACATTTATTAAGTAAATGTTAACACAGTTAGTACTTAAGTACTTATAAAAAGAATGTTTGCCTCCCCCTCCCAGAGGAGGAGAAGGGTCCTTCTTGAGGTGAGGTCCCCGCCCTCCCAGTGTGAAGTGTGAGGGGACCAGTCGGCTGCTTAGTGGTCAAAAAGTGGTTGGTAATCTGTTACCAGGGAAGGGTCCTTGGCAAGCCGATGGAAATCATATGGTGGAACTCGCCCCGCAGCCGGCACCAGGCAGAGACATGAGAAGGGTAACTGTCTCCAAAGCCGTGCAGTGACGGGGTGAGTCCATCCTCACCCCGCTGCCCCAGATCTGCAGGGGCACTCCTCCCCACAGGTAGCAGTGCTGAGCGCAAAGTGAGCTGAATTGAATAACAGTAATAAAGACCGCTCACAGTATAAACATGGTTATTTCCCAGGCTAAGGAGCTAGTTATATTTTTCGGGAATATCATTTTGGGACTAGAAGATGGCAACTGGGAAGTAAGTACTTAATTTCCTCTTGACATGTCGCTCAAAAGTTATTTACTGAGCACCTACTATGCATTATCCCAGAGATTCAAGGGAGAACAGGGGGCAGCGGCTGAGGGAACAGAACAGCAGAGGCAGGGAACGCAGGAAGGAAGGGGAAAGCGGCCCACACGTGCACGCTCTTTACGAGGTGTCTGGGAAAATGATCCCTTCCCCGTAACGACACGGAATTGTAACAGAGGACGGTCCCTGGGGGGACACCACACAAAAGAGTATAATTTAGGGAATTATAACACTTTGGGGGATGCATAAAAACCACAAGGTGTCCCTCCCAATGAACTACAATGGTATTACATAACAGTTCAAAGGGCTATTAAGTCTTCCCATTTGGTGAAGAAGCCCATCATTAGTAATAATTGGGCTGGTATAAAAACAGGAAATCAGCTTCTGAAGGGTCTCATTTAGTGTGAATTACAAAACTGGGACAGCAGCGTAATTTGGAAAATTAAGTATTCTAAACCGCCCCCCCTCCCCTTTGGACATCACCATTACTAATGTATTTAAGAGGCTAAACTTATTTCTTTGGATAAAATATTTGTAAAAGTAGACAGGCAAAAAAAACCCCACTTTTATATAACCAAAATGAACAAAATAAAAGCAAAACAGGTTTTTCTTTGGGGAAGAGGCAGGTAGAGACTGAAGGTGGAAGGGAGAGGGCAAATTAAAAAAAAAAAAAAGAATAAAGACAGAAAGCTTTAGCCCCTCTGGATGGCCTCGTACCATCTGACT